GTCTGAAAAATCTCTATACCGTGTTTCCACGTCCCTTGCGTAAACAATAAAGAATATTAACTGCTTGGAAATATCACAAGTTGGGATTTAAGAAAATCTAGTTACATAAACTAATCTAATAGTAAACACTGCAATTAAAATGTAATGTTTTAAGAACAATGAATTTTTAAAGCATGTAGGTTTCCTATAAACCTGAATGGAGTGAATGAACTGCAGAAGTAAATGAAATTATGTATAGTAATAGTATAATACATCCATTCATAAAGGCTCTGACTGAGCTTTGATCCTATTTGAGCGTAGGCGCACATCGCTTAGCTGTTTTAACATTCATATTTTTATTTTATTTGTTTCTGTTTAATAATCAATTTAATGATAACATTATTATGATAACATACTAATTACAAATTGAACGTTACTGCCAATACTGGTAAGAAGGGATAAAAATATTTATTTTGCAAAACTCGTTACTCTACCATGCAAAAACTAACGACTTTAATGACACTGTACAGTAAAAAAAGTTGGTTTAAAGATAATTTATAAAGTTTGAGGAAGTGTTTCATCACTTGTAACAATTAAACCTCCAAAAGTCCAAACCAAATAATGCCTTTCAATTAAAAAAAAAATCTTTTAAATTAAGTGTGAGCTTAAACCAATAAATTACTATGAAAATTTTATTTGTTTGTAGTATTTCATCACAATATTATTATTGAGTACCAAACAGCAAATCATGAATGACGGTGTGGGTTATTGAAATGAGTATTGCGCGCTGCGCCGCGTAGGCTCGCGCGCTCGTTTGACGGGCCAGGCGATGGCAATAGTACCTAGTTAGTGGTTCCGGATACGTATCGGACGTGTCGGATGTCGGCGTGAGTCACGCGGCGCCCACGCCGACACCGCGCCCACTGGCGCCCGACCCGTGCACCCACCCGCAAATTTCTATTGCATCAATTTATAAATACACCGTGACATAATTATGACCTATAATTATAATGAGGACCTAGGAATTGTAAAAAAAACAACAATTTCAAAAAATAAAGAAAGAATCAACTCTGTTCTTTTTGGTAACTGAGAATAGAATATAATTCTGACAATCAAAAGACAATGACAACTATGGAATGAAACAATTCGCTTTAAAACGGTACATGGCTAACGTAGTGGTCTAAACGAGACACAGGGGCTGTTGCTGAGACAGATATAGCGTGCGTCTGCGGCGCGTCTAGGCTATTTGTATTTGGGTTTTGGCATTGGACATTTCGCAGTCTCGTGGGAAACTGAGTTGAACGACTGCGGAGACAATGCGGTTGTCTGCTATCGCGAACAGTCGTTCACCGACGCGCGCTACCGCCCACCCGCGCTGCCGATTGCCACTGCCTTATGCCATCTTAAACATCTTGCAGTTTCAACTCTTGCGCCACTTAAACATCTCATTGTTTTCGTTAAGAGCAGCATTTATGATATCACTTACCTATATCAAATGTTGATACAACTTCTTTGTTGCATCTACTGATCACTGTATAATTTAGCATTAGCCAACATAAAAAGCTGCTGGGTTGTGGCTCAAATAATGATTTTTACTACATCATATTTATTTAGGAGCATTTATGTAATATACATATTTATTTAATATTTGTATATTTACTAGACCATGCTATACATATTTAATTTTCACATACACATGCTTTAAACTAGGTGCTCGCTCGCATACCTTTCGTTCCACTGACCAGCTTCACGGATAACTGGGCGACCTTAGGCCTGGCACCTTGGCTCATGAATCTCACAATACCAATTTTATCGCGGGGCAAGGTGTCTCAAGGGCGGCGCGAGGGGGGTTGGTCGATATGGCCGCTGGCCGCGAGCCAGCCGCCGCCGACGACTGCGACGCGCCGTGACTTCGCGACACATAAATCCACCCTCACATCGGTAAAGTGCCAGTCCGCACAATGCCAAACGTTAATAAAATTGAAGGCGCTCATAATCTAGAGCATGACTATAATAATAGCACCATAATACCATGACGACAATGAAACAAAACATTTTCGGCCCTTATCAATTTAACTGCACTTTCAAGTATCAATTTTTGATGGCGGCGTATATTTATTTTACCGCATTTGAATGAATGATCTGGATCTTATTCATTCAATTGCTCATTCATTTAGGAACTTGACTTGTTGCCAAAATTTAAACAAAGTTCTCTATAATTTAATAAACTGTAAATTAATTTATTTAAACTAGATATCTACATATTATTATTACAATGTAATAAACTAGCGAGCGCGTTAAGGAGTTAACCGAGTGTGACAATGACTATGAAAGGGGGAACTAGTTATGCTCGCCGATGATTAAAAAAGCCGTGCCGTTAAATTATATCGGAATAATTAAACGCATGCAATATGCACATTACAGACGCTACCATCTTGATTGTGGAGTAAGAGCTGCAACTGCGGTCAAATCATCTGATCGCGGGCCGATAACAAAATGCGGGTTAGCACAACTGTTAAGTAATCTGGGAACCTAGGACAGAAGTTCCCAAACTGTTACTGTAGGTAGGGTAGGGGGTGGTTTGTCGTGGTATCGAAACAATACACATTATCCTTACTAACTTTTTTAGTATCTGCCCTTCTGGCGGGGAGAGCCCCACATAATCTGTCGCCATGACCACTGTGACCACAGCGGCGGGTATGCAGTTTTATGCATTATTTCCACGTTAAAATAAGGGGGTGGTTTTGTTTTAATATTGAAAACTCTCAGAAATTAACAACACATTTTTATTGTAAAAAATCAAACATGAATGACAGATGACATTGACATTTAGTTCCGAAACCATAAATAAAACACCTTCCCCCCGAAATTACAAATCTAATCGGTTAGGTGGTTTTACTACCCTGCCACTTCTAGTACAATAATTATTATCATAGACAACATCTCTTGGTGGAGATACCCGAGCAGGGGATGAAATCATTGGATCAGAATTCAGTGTAGTATTGTCTTCTGTAGCCCTGGAATCATCATTATAATAACTTGTCTTAAATTGCTTAGTGTTTGAAAAAGATTTTTTTAAATGATTTGTAGTTCTACGGATTGGAAAGCTCCCATCTCTTTCCACCCAGTATGACCTAGGGNATTAACGTAGATACTAGTTTTATTCATAGCTGGGCACCGTTAATCAAATAGTTAACTTCGTTAATCGTTAAACCGTTAATAAAAAAATTAACTTCGTTAAACGTTAAAACGTTACATTTAGTAAGATTTAACGCAAGTTAACGTTAATCGTTAATCCGTTAACACATGTTTAAAACGAAAAAAGTAATTGTATGCAAGGTTCAAATCATTTCGAAAGCAAATCAGCTTTTATGGTATAACGTAAGCCTAACTTTTACGGTGGCTTTTTCTGTATATTCAATAGACTGTAATTCTACTTACGTTATATGTACCATAAATTCTGATTGTTATGTTTAATATTTGGGCAATGATTAGAAGTTCATCAGCCACACAGTTTTGACAGTTCCAACTCCTTGCCAGACAGTTTTTTTAGGATAGCTGCCAAAGCAACGATGACCCAAACTTCATAATCCACCAACATTCTAACCTGTATTGGGAGCATACGCTGACAAACTTTCAGCTTTTATAAAATGACGTAGGTCTGGCCTTCACCAGCTCTTAGTCTATAGTATCTCAATCTCAGAGCCTTGGTTTAATTACAATACAATTTAGCACCAAAGTGCTCGAAAAGACAAATCCAACAAACCCAAACTCGATAAGTTTCCACCGTTTCGTTTAGGAATTCCTATGGCCACTTCCTGACTCCATTATCAGGACCCTGGACATCATCTAGTACTAAAGTGCTCGAAAAGACAAATCCAACGAACCCAAATTAGATGCGATGCCGCCGTTTCATTTAGGAGTTCCTATGCCCACCTCCTGACTCCATCATCAGACCAGCTTAATGGTACCATAACATTGCATTTTCATCGTACTTACATAAGTGTACCAAATTTCAGCTCTATCGGTTGAGAACTGGTCTTAAAATCAGTTGCAAGATTTGTCCCACACATACTAACAAGTGAAGTCAATATAAAGCTTGTAAATAAATAAAAAAATTGCATTTTTTATATCGTTTCGTTCTGGTTACAAAAACTGTTGTTTTGGGTTCTGGAAGTTCTGGAAGCCCGAACGTACTTGTCAGAACTTGTTTTTAGTCCTGACAAGGAACCCTTATATACTCAACATCAAATAAATCGCACCTTCCGCGACGCGAACTTTAAAGATTTTCTTCTGACACAATCATGGTACCCCAACAATATTGGTATTATTTGAAAGCCCAATAAATATCCTTAAAGAAAAATACATTCAATTTCTTAATAAATGATTAACATATACCATAAATGTGACTTGAAAAAAGACCTCACTTTGGGCTCACCTCTGTTATTAATTAGACCAATTTTTATGGTAATAAAACCAAATAATGATCTCACGTGTCCTCTTTAACCGATGGATAGCGATTAATCCCAACTTAACAGTTTTATAGCCATAAAAGTTGGCTCAAGCGTAACTACCTATTTTTTGAAGAAGTGACTCTGGATCCTTCTTAAGACACATTTTTGGGGTAAAAACCTTTCCTATAATGAAATCAAGTTTAGAACTAGGCTTTTAAGTAGTGCCAATATTGGTGGGAAGTGGGGATGCATACGTTTAAAAGTGCTTGTCGCGGGAGGTGCGATTTATTTGACGACGAGTGTAGTTTCGATATGTCTGTCTGTCTATCCGAGGTTTTGCTTGGAAACTATTGTCACTTGAGAGCTGTAATTTTGTGGAGGTATGTACTCGTATATTAATTACGCCGACAAAACGGTAAAATAAAATTTTGAAAAAAAATTTTTTTAGGGTCCCCTACATGTGAAATGGGGATGATTTTTTTTTTCATCTTCTACCCCATCGTGTGGGGTATCGTTGGATAGGTCCAAAAATGACTAAGGGGTTTCTAAGACTATTTTTCGTTTTAGGGATCGGNGTTTTGACGATTGTATGTCGGCCCGCCTGACCTCTGGAACCTCTGTGATCACATCCGAGGAGGGCCCCACCAGTTTGAAGCACGATTGTTCTCGTTCTTAGCACTGACTTCAGGTCACCTTATGAAGTTCTTCTTTTTCTCATTCACTGTCACCTTTAATTCCTTTCATGATTATTGAACTGCCCTTGCAGTTTTTATTTTTTAATCAGATTATTATCAAACAAATAATCTCCATTCTCAGTTTCAAGTAATGAGTCCTTAGATTGTTATTTTTTATTGTTGAGAGTGCCAAGTTTCTACATCAATTGGTTTCCGGAACATATACATATAATCACTTAGCTGCTAACCGGCTTCATTCAGCTTCTTAATACAGTTTTAGTTGTTAATGATCTCCGATACACATCTGTACACCATGGCCTACACAGGCCAAGGCTGTGGACATTTGTTTCTGTCGGGTTTCAATTACTTGATCCCTTCTCTTAGCCCTGTCATTTAGAGCAGCGGCAACTTCCTTATTATGTTTTTGAGCACACATCTTGAGTACATTCTGGAAGGCTGGATTGTCTTTTGTAACTGTTTCTTTTTCATCTTTTTTCAGTCCTTTCTCCAGGATCTCGCACCATCTCTCAGCAATTTGTTTGAGCAGAAGTGCATTCTTAGGGGCTGGAGCGGGAGCCACTATATTCAGTACTTCATCCCCTAATTCCTCCTTTTTGTTGTAATCCTCGTCAAGGATAAGATCCTCAAGAAATTCTGTTTCAGGATGATCATTCTCATTTTCACTTTCAATTTCACCTTCAATCTCCTTAACTGTAAAAGAAACACTATTGAATGGAAGCTCCCGGTACTGTGCTGCATTGTACCGCGAAATTTACATGCATTCCCTCCGGATGCATCGAGGTTTGCCGACAACGTGTGCGTCCGTCATAGAAAACATAGTTGCATAGCTTGTCATGCATAAAAGTTGCGTGCATTCCCGAAGAATGCCCTTGGTAATTATTGCCAACCGTGTGTGTTCCCACAGAACACCCCAGTGGTTGCATAAATAGACAAGTATTGTTTTGTCGTAGCGTGCCTTGCCGCCATATTGCGTCATGCAACAAATGCGTACATCGCCGCAAAAAAAGTGCTCTACTTATATCGCCAACCTCGTGTGTTCCCACAGAACACCCCCATGGTTGCTATAAGTAAGTTTATTACCAATAAACCAGAGCCTCGAACAGATTCTTCATTTTTTCATAACCTCACCTTCGTCATCGGATTCCGGTAAACTGATTATTTTCTTTTCCAACCGTCGAATCTTTTTCAGTAGAGGAAGTTTATGTTCTCCTTTCCTTTTTATTTCCATTATTTCGAATATTCAGTACAAAAAACACTCTAAATAACAAATTTTTCACGACCGCAAACGTGACGCCATTAAACACGGAAAACCGAATGAGTTGACAGGTATAGATGGCGTGGTGGGACCTAGGTACGACTGCGTTCAGAAATATTTTATTTTAGCTTTAAAATTGTGTGACGCCAGAGGATGTAAGCCGGGACTACACTAGTTATCTTTCATCATCGAGGACGAGACAACAACGAGCATAACTATGCAATATCGTGTTTTGGAAAAGTTGTCGCCCTAGTTAAAGACATTAACTTACTCGTACAATTTTTTGTTTGCTAAAATATCTTTTCATTTAGAAGCTATCTGCAAACAAAATCGGTCAAATATCGACAATTTGGGAAATCATGGCCTTAATATATTTTAGGACATCTCAGATGTAATAAAGAAAAAGGTACGATTTTAATTTTGCTTCGGAGAGCACGTTAATAAAATTAAAATAACATAAAATAATGTTTACCACTTAGATCATGACCACAGTCATGAAAACCAATTATGATAGAAAAAGAAGAAACATAATGGAGTTGTAAACAAAAACTTGCACGACAAATCGCAAGTGTGATCCTTCTCAGAATGTTATTGCCAATTTTTTTATCACTCGTTGTAGGCGATCGCATTAACGTGGCAGCCTTAGCGAACCTACACACTGGGCTGTTACGTGAATGGATGAGATACTGATTCATTCACCCGGTTGCGTTTGTTTTCTAGTTGAATAACATTTGTTTTTTTTTTTAGTTTTCTATGTAGGCGAAAGCCTTGAGAAGGCCAGTGTTAGTGGACATACACATTATATGAGAATGAGTGAGATACTTGTTCATTCACCCGGTTGCTTTGATATTTCAGGTTGAATTATGTTTTAATGTAGGTGGACGTTATTTTAGACAGCCTTAGTGTGGTAGGTCAGTTTTGTTTACTGTTTTGGTGGCTGCAAACCATAAATATGAATTTGAAATAAGCCTCCTTCTGTCGCAGTCGGGTAAATAGGTACAGGCTAATTTATTGTTGTCGAGTGTTATTATGTAACTTCGAAGTTAGCTCTATGGATTGTTTTCAATAATGATTTAAACTTGTTTTCCCAACAATCAGGAGCGAATCCCATACGTGTATGAGTATGTTGTCCAAAATACGCTTGAGTTGATTTTTGTTGATTTTCTTTCTCAAAATTGAAAATACATTTTGAACTTCAACTTTAAGTGTCGTTATTTCCCAAACATACTCAAAACAAACATCGGCAATAAACCGCACACTTCATTGTGCACAAATGCATAACCACAATTCTTAACTGACACAAATGACGAGTCGCAACACAAGCGCCCAGTTTACGTATTATTTATCGGCCCCAGTGTGAAATGGCCCTAACCGCGTCACCTCCATCATGTGACGAGGTGGGAGGCCCGTTACGAATTTATGTAAACAGGCCCCCTCAAAAACCAAACCTTAAGACGAATTTAACAAGGGTTACAATCGAATAGCGGTCTTAATGTTTGACTGTACATCTACGTAGTTTCCGGCCGTCTTAAAAACAAGATAATGACTCCGAAAATGCCTAATTACCGACGCTGCTACAAATCGCTAGTCCGTTTCATTCTGTATAACAATTCAGAGATTTACAGTGGACACAATGTTGATGAGCTCTTTTTCTTAATCGCTAATATCTTTCTCGACGCTGGTTTTTACATTTCTGCGAATTTCGAAGATTTACGTTTATAACATTCTGTTTGAATTTATTTAGCGCTGTTTGTTACTTTTTCGTGGGGTCTCTTTAGCCCATGGATTTACAATTTGAATGCAAAAATGCTCTTGTTTTTATACAATTTGGAAGACAGAAGATTGTTTAACGAAACTTCTGTCTTCCAAATTGTATGTTCTTAGAGCATAAAATGTTTTTATTTCAATTTCTTTTAGCATTGTAGTTTTATTATATCCCTAGAATCTAGAGATATCTAAACAATCGTAATTATTCTAAATTATCATAAGTCACACTTCGTCGAAGTTTCGTTAAACAATCTTCTGTCTTCCAAATTGTATAAAAACAAGAGCATTTTTGCATTTTATCCATCTAATTTATCTTTGCCATGTTATCCACATTAACACTTTATTATTGTTTTCTTGTTTTTTATTAATATTAAAACTTTATTAATATTAAAGCTCGAAACCTCAAGAATAGCTGACCTTAAGAGGGCACCCGCGGGGTTACTCCGTAGAACGTTTTCCGAAATTTCAAATGCTGCCATCCCTCTCACGCACAGCGATATGCCAGGATGAGCGACGATGACAGATAGATTCGAAACTAAGTTTCGTAGTCCAGCTGAGCCTATACATCTGGCACTAGAGACCGCGCAGTTTATTGTGCCAAACTGTGCCAAATCGCTAGTTAGCGGCTCTTGCGGATTAAAACTACAATAAAAACCGATTTTAGAGTTTCACAAACATTTTCCGGGTTTTGTTTCTGATGTAATACATCACTCATTTTTGCAGGGAAACCTGTTTTTCTTATTAAATCTGGTTGGGAAGAATAAGTACCTACATCGTGTTAGAAGCTAAATGTGGGGTTGATACCATTTATCCATTTATCATTACCTTTTCGATATCATTATTCATTATTATTTAATTTTTAGCGTTAAGAGTCGCATCTCAAACTAATTTGAAAATTATAAATAACTTGAAAAAATCGAACTGCCTAAGGCGGGAATTGAACCCACGACCTTCCGCTTGCAGTTCGATTTTTTCAAGTTATTTATAATTTTCATTATTCATTTCCATTTCTAAAATAGGTAAACTAACTTCCAACTTAGCTTTCAGTAAATTAACACCTACGACTTCAAAGCATCTGCCCTTTACAGATTTTTTTATTGTTTTCTATTTTACGAGACGATGAATCTATTTAAAAAAAATTGCATAACTCATATTTAATCTTGTGCTAATAACGAAACCCATTTCACCCAGTAACATATCAATAAAATCATTTAGCTCGCATTCTTGCTTTTAATTTCTTAATATTTTCCACGAAATCAAGATTGCAGACTCAAACGTTCATTTTACTGCGCTGCGCATTTACGAAACGCTGAAATACAACCGCGCCAGGTAGTATATTCTTGTTAAGTCTAAATCAAAAACAAATAGCGTCCCACTTGTCGGCATTGTAAAATTTGTAAATCTGCGTCCTTGCATCGCTTGCCAAATACTTGGCGAGTGAGTCCTCTGGTAGCTCCACTTTTATTATTTAATAAGCGCTTGGGTGATCCGAGTTTCGAATAGATTATCTAAATAGCTGGTCATAGTGTTGTGGAACTAAAAAATAAATAAAATGCATCAAGTGGTTTTGATTACTGAACATTTAGGTCAAATATCTTTTATCTTAAACATACATAGACCACAACCACCTCGATTATACTTTTTTAAACATTGTCCAAAAATGTTTCAATCTAAAGTAGTAATGATCAGATAATCCATCGCGGATGAAGTAAGTACCTACTAACCTTCATTATCAAATGTCAAAATCATAAAAACGAGAGATCGTGCTTTGTAGCGCTTCTTTGAAGAAAGCTTACTTCTAACAGTGAATTGCCATTGTTTATCTAATTACATTTACCTAATTATCAAAAAATATAGTAATTTAT